ATTGTGATTTTTCTTCTTTCCTTTTTCAAATATGTATGATTTGGTTGTTTTCTTCTCTTTGTTTGCCGCTCCAAAGGCTAATAAAATATTATTATTATTATTATTATATAAAGTTTGAATATGTACAGTCATAGCATGTAAAGATATACGGCTCTAGAACAGCATTCATTAATACTGAATGACCGCTAGTCAACCATTTAAAATGAGTTTTTAAACACCGCGGAAAATCATGCACTCGATCAGTGCCGCAATTTTGGTTACCTCAATCAGAATATCCCCCAGAATATCACCCAGCATGCATCAATCGCGATATCGCAACGAGCATTGTTGCCATGGACGGCATTCCTCGGTACAAGGCACCCTATGAATAAGGTATTTCCCGAGGTCAGGGCTCGTTTGTTATAGGCAGTTTCGTCTGCAATTGAATAAATTTTGCCTTGAATAAACGTTTACAGTTGTCCTTTCTTTCAGCACGAGTCCATTTAATTTGTTTTCTGTTTTGATACTTTGTGTCACTGGCAATTGAATAATAAAATAACTGATGTGCAGCAAATCCGAATAAATCTTCATGGTGCACGCTGCATTTGTTTTTCGGATTTAGCAACGTCGCACTCCTGAAAGAATTTTTTCGAAAATTTAACGTGCAACAGTAGTGTAAGTCTCAAGTGCAACTTTGTAAAAACAAATTGTCATCTTCTGATACTTTTAGGTAATTATCCAGTCCAATGAAAAGTCTGATTCACGTCCTTAGAGGCCCTGCTCACTTTATTTAGAACTCTTTCAGCACTATTTGGAGTGTTTTGTTTAGGCAGGATGCACTGTAAAATGAAGCTTACACACAAATAAACATAAATAAACACATTATAGGGACAACTACCTGGTTGACAAATCAACATAAATCCTAAAAAGAAACAGCTTAGAAGGTGTGAACGAGATTGGTTTGAACCGCTGTGTTTATGCAAATTTGTGCAGTTATGTGGAGATATGGTATACTGTATAATATTTTATTTTAGCTGTAATTTTCACTTAATAGATAATTTGTTTTGTTTAAAGCATATTTTCACTGACTTTTGATGAGTTGAACGTAAAATGTAGAAAAAATGGAATTTCACAGGATTCAGTGAAAATAGGAAATTTAAAATAAATTCCAAGTGAAAAAATAGTGATTTCAGTGATTAGGAATTTTATTGTTTTATAGCTAATTTGCATTATTTTTGGCAGATCAAATTCTCATGAAAAAATTTCCATCTACACACAAGATTCAAATGGTTCAGTGTTTTTTGAGAAAAAGGCGTTGACAGACAGCCAGCAGACAGACTCCTGACACAGCAACATCCCTATGGCTCACTGACCTAAGGTCTATTGCGCCAAACAAAATGATGTACATCAAGATTTCATAATGTACAATGTATGTATCAAGTTGAGACAATGACATCAGGGTACATTAAATTACATTGAGTGCAACTATAACATGCACTATGAACACAACTGATAAACTGTGATATGTGTTTAGAACTCGGTTACAATAATTCTAGTTCAATCACACTTACTTGTAATACTTTGCCATGGTAGTCTTCTTCAAATATAAGCACTTGTTGATAGAGTGGATCTAATGTCCGACGTGTTGCTATTTTAGTCTTCCTTTTACCAATACAACGCTTACCTTCCATTAGGTACACCTTGACATATGGAGCTGATTGACCAACAATAAATACTTGATAAGTGATATGATACTCAAATAGAACATGGTCAAGACATTAACAATTCATTGACACAGTCAGCATTATGTATGTTAAAAAATTAAATAAAGTAATAACCTGGTAATATCTTTGCTCCAGGCTTTGCCATCAAACCCCTAGCCCTGACAACCTCCACTTCTAAATGTCCACCTTTCTCACTAATTCCAATTTGAACATCACCTAAACATGGCGATCCAAGAACCTGACGACCGACTAACTGCCCTTGTCCCAAACCATCAATAAATTCTCCAAATTGTCCCTCAGGTCCAAGACGCAGGCCAGGTGGTAACCACATCCTGTGAATAACAAGACATGAAATGTCACAGTCCCCGTTATTTGATTATAAAGTAGTACAAGGAACATCTGCAAACAGGTGAAAAAATATGTACTCTATGTGGGTACAACTCATCATAAAGTGATTTCCCATAATCTAGTTTTGTACTGACAACTAAAAACTTCCACTGACCCATGTTCAGAATCTCAGAGTACACAAGTGCAACAAAACTATTTGTCATACATGTATACTTGCTCAAGAAACTGCATTCATAAATCTGAGTGAACCTTGATGTACATGACTTCTTTGTTAATCAGGTCTTAGTATATTACCAGGACCTGGGTTTGTTTCAACATCACCACTGGGCATCAGATTCATTCTCATGTTGTCAAATACAATTTGTTATTAACACAGTAACACTGCTCATAACCTTCAATGGAGAAGTAACAATAATTGTTTGAAGTCTTTTTAGTGCAGTGATATTATTGCATTTCAATCATTATTAATGAGTATAAAATACTGTAAACCATTTAATTTTCACTTCCAGATATATTCAGGATTTTATGAAATTTGTACAACATTTCAATAAAGTCCCTGACACTCCATGTTGTAGGAACCCAGAAAAAAATGCCTTGCATAATTGAAGCAGTTCACAGCACCACTGTAAAAAAAAAAAATAGTTTAAAATGAGTATAGTCACATGTGGGTTCATAAGACATATGAACCAATCTGAGTAGTTCTAGAGATTAGTATCACAAGATTTTACTCTGCTTGATTCAATATCAGCCCTACATGTATGTATAACGCTGTGTTGATTAGGCGAACTAATTGACAATGGCCCTACAGGTATCGCTATGAAATCACAGTAGTTTTGTGTTCTTCTAGCATTTCGACCATGAAAAATTAATTGTTTTTGAGAGTGGCCGAATTATTAGAAGAAAAAAAGAAACTATTTTTTAGTCCTGTGGACCAACGGTCCAACGGACCAGGGAGCTGTAATTACAGCTCCCTGAACGAACTAATGCTATCACAATCTGTAGGTCGTGTGCTGTAGGCAAAGATATCTCAAAAACCCTTCAGTCTATTTTTCTGAAACTTGGCATTATGATAGCTTGTGTGAATATCTCCAGGGCATTTTTTTTGTTATTTCGCTTGAATCATTTTAAAATTACTTTTTGGCCCCAAAACCTCCCAAAATCAGGCTTTTCTAGTGTAGGTAATCTCTGTCCAATTACCATACATGGGTTGTGCACAATTTGCATAGTAAACATTTTGTGTTATTTTTTCTGATACACACTTCTCTTATCAAATTGTAGTTTCATAATAAAGAATGTATATTATTTGATGTGTTCATGTATGTTGTGATGGATTATCGCATAAATTATTTGTTTAATGATAGACAAGACATGACATGTCATAGCCCCCGCTCAGAAAATTTTTTTAAAACTTGTATTTAGGAGGGTTGGGGGAAAAATTTATTCATTTGGCTTTTTTGAGACAATTTATAACTTGTTAAACATATAATGCGATGTGCACTTGTAAACAATTATTACCTGTCCCTGTACCAACTTTGAACAAAACTGGATAACACATATCTGAGAAAAGCTGGTAACAGCTAGAAAAAGCTTGTTTTTTTTAGATTTTTGAGGGGAAAAATGGCCACCAAGTCGTAAAAAATTATCAAATCAAACAGGTCATGAATGACACTGCCTTCACTTGTTGTCATTTGAAAGTTGCAACATATAATTTGTCCAGTTTTTGGCATGGACATAAATTGGCAAACATGATTTCTATGGCATTTTCAAGTTTATAGTACTCTCCATTCTGGTCTCAGCAAGAACATCAGAGAGCAACAAACAAGTACAACAGGTAAATGACATGCAAGTATGCAAATCAGATCTGCAAATATGTTGAAGAGTCAGTGTTGTGTCTGTTTGGATAAACTTCCTTGTACAACTGTATTCCTAATACAAGAACACTGTCAATCACAGAACTGTACCAGCGAAAAACTTCTGATATTTTAGTCAGCAACAGGGCAAAGATATCAATTGTCATATCAATATCTCTAAATAAGGACAAGAGTACTTCTCATATGACAATGATACAAATAAAGTGCAAGAATCCAGAAAAATATTATCAAGTTTTTATTATCATACATTAATATTAACAAATCGTGTGAAATTGAACTTTTATGTACAGAGAAACACATATTTATGCTTTGGTTGACAGCACTTCTCAAAGAAAAAAAAGAGGACCTGCAAAACTTTATACAATTGTCAGACATGCAGCGAATAGTATGCTTTTGTAATATATGCAGTTTCAGTGGCTTTGCTTTCTGAGAAAAAAATTCTGGCTCTGCACCTGAAAAAAACAAAAAAACATTTAGTCAAAAGTAAGCAGAGGTTGTAGCATATGTGCTCCCATTAGCTGTTAAATTTAATTAAAAAAGATATTTGTGTACCGTCTTTTCAGTACGAAAACATATTACTTAATACGGTATATTTATATCAGCCAGAAGAAAATTGCAGTTTACACTGAGCAATTAGGAATATACATGGACAACAATTGATGCATGTCTAGCAATATACTGTTTGAAAGGCTGCAAGATGTAATAAAATAGCAAACCAATCACTACTCGAGTCGAACTGGCTGGGAAACTGCACAATACATACAAAAATGTATGCAAATGATATATGAGCAGCTCCACCAAATATAAAAATATTCTTTCCATAGTTATGACTCTAATGTGAATGTGATTTTCCACTCCTTAGCAATAGTAGTTAGAGTATTGTATTGTACTGTATCGTACAAGTTTATTGTGATTCTAAATGTGTTTGTAATATTATTTAGCTTTATTTAGCATTCTGTTTAGTTGGTTAACTTTACTGTATCTTAATGTAGTTTATTTTATTTTTATACGACCATAGAACAACTCACTGTAGTTTGTTTTAATGTTGAATAAAAATTAAATCAGTCACTGTATAGTGGTGACGTATTGCGCGAAACTGTTGCAAGGACAATACTTTTCTCGTTTAGCGTGCCGTCGTGAGTCGATAAAAATGCATGGAATGGTCAGCAGTATCGATCAAGTTTGTCTAGTATGACATTTGTGGCTGGCAAAAAGCAAGATGCCGTATAATCGTTTAAATAGGCGTCAAGGAGGAGTGAAAGGCCCTAATTTGGTTCTACAATAGGCGTCATGAAATGTTTGAAAATTACAGTCAATCAAAAAAACTGTTCACATGACAACAAATGATCACGGTACGGTAGCTTACTTGTTTTCGAAGTGTTGTAATTGTTGATTAGTACTCAGTAGTGATTATATTAACGTACAAAAAATAAATTCGTTGAATTGTTATGAAATGCAAGTAAAATTCAACTTAGTTTTATCGTTAGCAAATGATTTCGGTTACATGTTAACGTTCGATAAGATACGATATCCGCCATGTTATCCTTCGCCCGAGGCGTGTTTATTGACCAGATAGGTCAAATCAACCAATCAAAGTGCCCATGTGCTCAAATTACCATAAAGCATTTAAATATGAGTAGCGACATATTTTTAACTTCGCCTATGGCGTGATCAGTGGATTACGTAAATAAACCAACGCTTTCAATGAGTACATGCCAACCCAATTAAACTTGTTGTTTATGGCTGTTTATGAACAGCGAGGACGCATCTCATAGAACAATAGCTGTGGAAATTATAAACAAATGTAAATGTTGCAGAAATCAAGCATGGCAATAATGATTTTGAGCGAGGCAGAGTCTGGCAAGCGTCTCAGAACAGCGTTGCGCCGACACCACCACAACTTTTGAATCCCGGTGAGAGCACTGCAAACCTCTTAAATCACGAGGTAAACTTTCAATTTACACAATACATAATCAGTTCCTACAACAATAACAGAAAGGCAGTTTTTCTGGCGAAGCTCTCGCCAGGTTAGCAAGAGTTTCTCACGATCCCGAGACATGAGACACAAACGATAATACAAAGTGTATAAATACCATAACAAGCACAGTTTCTTACCTTTGAAATTGACGAGACACAATTTTGTCCATATAAGCGTTGCGCAAATAAAGATACAATTCCGGGATACAATATCCTTACACAAAAACGACTGTGATTTCCACCAAGACGAGAACTGCGTTTGTATCATCAAAACTCGAATTAAACTCGGGTAATTTCGGGAAAAGTCGGATTTTCCAGCAGTTTTGAAGGAAAAATGTTAAAAATCAAAGAAAAACAGTGAAACTTTGAAAAATCAAATAAATAACTTGATGTGCATAATAGCAACATCAATTCCTGTCTCTGTACTAACTCTGAACTGAATTGGATCACACATGTGCGAGAAAAAGCTGGTAACATGAAAATGTGCACACACAGATACACAGACACGACCCAAATTAACCCCCCCGCCCGGATAGCAGATCCGGCGGGGGCTAAAAATAGCGCTAATTTGAATTTATGACGCATGCGCAATTACGCATAAAAAGACCATTGGACAATATGGCAGTGTGATTCGATGTCTCAAATTTCGTTATGAAAATTAAAGTATAATAATTGTTTTGATAGAATACAATGTGTGATGTGTATTTGTGATTACATGGGCACTGTCTTAATAAAGTAGTGTGTGTTATTGGACAAATTGAACACTTGCTGCGCTGTTTTATTGCACGAACTGGTCACTGACAGGCAACAACCAGCGGCTATATTCATATCTGCGGTTCCATAGCTCTTTTGTACGGCTGACAACTGATTTTTACATTTTTATTTATATTCGTAGTATGGTTTTGTATCTTGTCAGTCACCTCTGGGGCCGACTAATATAGTCGAGCAATAAAAAAATAGGGCGGCGACACGAGAGCTATGAACCACATACGGCTATTCATTGAATCACGATGGAATAAATACACGAGGTACAGGAACGTGTGTTCAAGGTTAACCTCGATACAATACATCTAGACACTACGACTAACAATATGGCAAATGCAAACATAGTAATCTCTGATGTATTGAAGCGTCAT